AAGACGAGGTGTAGCTGAAGAGTTCCACCAGATGGTGGCGAACACCAAACGCGTGTTTGTTTATTAAGCCGTTGATTGTTTGAAAAAGGCGAATGTTACACCTTACTAATAAAGTTTTTTTACCAGAGAGCATGAGCAGCGCTGCGATGCGGTTACTGGATTTTGGACGACTCTTAAAAAATCAACAATTGTTTAATGTGCTTTCCGGACAGATGTAGAATTGATTAAGTTTGTTGCATCGTGTTTGTCCTCGATCAATTGTAAATACTGATATAACTCGCATAATTACTCCTCTACGAAAACCGGCGAAGTGGAACACAGCAACGTTAGTACCGCTGGCGCCGAGTGAGTCCGACGGCGCAATTGGATTCCAGGCACACTCGCTGAATTGACTCCAGTTCATGAGTCAGGAAGTACTATCTTGCGCTTGTTTTTCTACTTCGTACCAATGGTTCCAGAATGCTATTGGTTGGACGTCGATTTCTTCGGTTAATCTGCCTCAAAATTGTGCGATTTTGAAAGGCATTACTGAAGATTTCATCCAGAAACGTTGACCAAATCATGCTTCGCCATATTCCTTAGAAGAGTGTAACATTTCTTGGTAAAAGGACAAGCATTCGTCAAAAGTGTATTTGTCAGGCTGTTTTTACTCTTGATATGTTCGCATGTTCGACATAAGAAATAGGGGATCCCATTCCATTACACTTCGGATTATATTTAATTCTGGTAAATCTATATCACTTTCCACCTTCTATGATTTGCACTGGAACCACGCGATTAGACAATAACTTATTTCAAAATAATGAACACCATGTTTTGTGGTGGACGTCCGCTTTCAAGAAAACAACGAGGGTGTAGGTGGTGTGAGTACCAATGGTGGCGAACACCTGCTTTAATCGATCTCAAAATTCTGTGTTTAACCGAATTAATCGGATAGCCTTTTGATTCGGCGTTTTGGCTCGATACCAGCCTCTGATTTTTGTACGACGTAGGGTGCCAGTAGATTACCCGTTTGAAACGCACTGGTTACGATAGAAGGAAATGGTATGACTGCTGCTCTCATAAAGTCACAACACAAAAGTTAACGGGACGGGGAATCCATGCTTCTTGGCTTGCCTATTGACAATTCCTTGCAGTAAGTAGAATAAGTTACCAACTATCGAATGACCATTCATCCTGTGCTGGTGTTATATAGTGGCTTCTACTAGAGGGGATTTTACCTGGCTCCAAACAGCAACCAATTCATTGCAGTGTGGGTGTGTTTGTATACTGTAGTCCACATTTCACATACAAATTTCCGTCGCCGTCTGTGGTCGTACGGAATGTTCATGTATGTTAGACCCAAGATAGATATCCGTGGAACGTGTGAATCGACTGTCATACCGCATCTACTCG